CTGTATGCAACAATCCCTGGGCAAAATAAAATATTCCATTTCTTTTACCAAAAAAAAAAAAGTCTACGGAGCACCCCAGGGAACAAGACTCCAGTACTTGTCAAGTGAACAAGACTTGAATCTTTAAGTTCTCTGGGATAATTATGCTCAAGACCTCAGGTCACAATGACAGATATAAAAGCAAATAGTCTCATATAAATGCCTGTAGACCTGGAAATGAAACAGGTAAAGAAAAGACTGAGGAAGAGACAAAGACGGAAGAGAGAGAAAAAGAAAATAACAGGAAAAAAGAACCAGAAGGGGGCTTCATCATACATTTTACATCCATTTAATTAAAAATACCAAACCACAAAAGAAATAAATAAAAATGAAATCCCAATGATATGTATAATGGTACAGAAGCAATCCTTATACATGAAGGTTATGTTCCAAGATCCACTACAGAAAACCGAAACCATAGAGAATAATAAACTCTATACATGATGTTCTTCTCTAGAAACATATAGCACCTAAACTCATTTAGTTTTTCAAAGAAGGTACAGTAAGAGATTCACAATAATAAATAATACAATAATTGTGTTATAACACTGAGTTCCTCCTTCTCTTCCTCCTCTTTCTTCTCTCTCTCCCTCTCTTCCTCAGTCTCTCTCTTTATCTCTCTCTCTCTCTTCCCTCTCTCTCTCTCACTGTCACTCTTTAATTTTTCTACACTCACCCTTCCTTCAGACCAAAGCTAACAGAGGAAGCAAAACATGAAATTGTTGGTATGGGAACTGAGGACTATTGCATGCACATGTCTCATACATAAAAACACTATTAGTATGCATTCTAGGCTTGTTAAATCCAAATCTTGTTATATCCAAGAATGGATAAGAGTTTGAAAGGAGAGATGAAGAGAGCCTTCAGTATGTCCCATAAATATATCATAATTCATTTGATTCTTAGTAAATTAGACTCCATTAATGTATTATTTTTTAAATTTAGTGGTCAATTAAAAATACCTTCTACTATCTTTCCATCAATTAGAGAATTAATAAAAACTTTGCTCAAAATATTAGTTTTCAAAACTCTATAAATGGAATCACTTAAAATAACAAGATCTAAATATTCCTCTGAGTCACCAAAAGTAGAAATTCCCATAGGCCCTTGATTCATGCTTTTATGCTATTTCAAGGTCTAAAATTCACCATGTCATTTACTGATGCTACATATTGAAAATGATGTGATTATTCATGAAGGACATACTTTAAGCAACAAGCCCTGGGCAAAATAAAATATTCCATCTCTTCCCCCCCCCCCCAAAAAAAGTGTGTGAAGCACCCTAGTGACCAAGACCCCAGTACTTGTCAAGTGAACAAGACTTGAATCTTTCTGTTCTCTGGGATGATTATGCCAATATTGAGCTGGCTGTCACTCCCACATCTACATAATTGTTTGGACTGGACCTGACTTTGTGTTTCATTTTTATGATGTAGTGTTCTTAGGCCAAATAAAAGAACATTATATCCACCTAATAAATAGAATAATGAAAATATTTTCACAGCCTTTTTCAGGTACAACTGACATACACTAAATGCATATATTTAATGTACACCATGTGATGAGTTTGTACCTATGCTCACACCTGTAAGATCATTGCCACCATCAAAGTTACAGACATACCAACACTTCTCAAAGTTTCCTTGTTTATGTTTGCTTTGTGAACTTTCAATGAGATCGCAGCCTTCCTTTGTTCTTTTGCTTTTTAATTTTCAGAATTTTTGGTATGAATATAACATGAGATGGACTCTTTTAACAGATATTAAATATCTGTATAATGCTGCATAGGCACTATATGGTATAGAAAATATCCAGAACTTATTCATCTATTAAAATTAAGCATCTATAGTTGTTGAATACATTCCTAATTCCCTCCTCCACCATCTATTGGAAACCACTGTTGTATTGTTTGATTGTATGAATTTGACTATTTTATATTCTTAACGGGAGTGGAATCATGTACTGCTTCCCCTTCTATGAATGTTTTATTTCACTTAGTTTAATATCTGTCAGATTATCCATATTTTGACAAATCAGCATGTCATTCTTTTTAAGGTGTAGTAATATTCATTACATGTCTTTACTACATTTTCTTTATCAATCCATCTGTCCATAGACACTTAGGTAGTTTCCACATCTTGGCTATAATAACTCTATGAACTTGGGAGTGGAGGCATCTCTTTGAAATACTGACTCTATTTCTTTGGATATGTACCCAGTAGTGTAATTACTGAGTCTTAGAGAAGTGCTATTTTTATTTTTTTTGAGGAATTTCCATGCTATTTTTCATAGTTGCTGCACCATCTACACTGGCACGAACAATACACAAGAGTTCCAGTTTCACCATGTAGTGACCAATATTTACTGTCATTTAAACTTTATCTTACGCTTTTATTTAAGTGGTCTAACTTGAATCCAGCTTTGACAAGGATGTAGTATACATGATGTCTTCAACTCAGGGAAACTTGGAAGCTAAGGATCCCAAAGGACTGTGATGGTAAAAACTTTTTCAGTCACTTTTCTCTATTTAAAATGCAAAACAGAAGTTTCCAGGCCACGTGGTACTCTTTCCAATGTGTATTTGCCACAACAAAATGCATATATTGTTGCCAAGACCGGTCACAGAAGGAAAAAAAATGAAACTTCACTTTCTATTTAAGGTAGAATCTTGAATAAGCCTCATCATCCAAGAACCTGGTTTCAGAGGTAATTCCCAACAAGTAAGTATATCACAGTTTAATTTTGTACTTCAAATTTTTACCCCATCCACCCAGTTAAGAACAATTATTGGATTTTATCATTTTTCTATACCTCTAAATTGATTTTAGACTTCTAATTATATAATTTAGTTAATATGATTGCCAACATTGTAGAGTTTTTTGTGTAACTAATCCCTGAGACTTCTGAACATTTTACTGCAGTTTCATGTACTGCAAAGAAAAGCCAAAGTTCTTTTACAGTCTTACAATTTTCCAGATCTATGGGTAAGGAAGCATGGTTTGTATAGGGCATTTAAATTATCCTAATATTTTCTAATTCTTTTTGGATTTTGTCTGTTTGTTCTACCTTTTCCTCAATGTATAGAAAATGCAGAAAACAGCCTTGAACATTTACAGGGTAAAGTCAAGTCCAATTTGAAAAGAAAACATAAAATTGGAAAGATGTTAACATAAACATAAAATTTTGCCATTTAAATATGCATTTGGGTTAACTTCATAGACCAATATGTCTTTTCACTGATATGATTAATTGTCTTAGTCTTCTTAAGATCAAGACTCCTGTCAGAAACAGTTCCAGTGTGCAAGCTATATTGGAGGCTTTGGAGTAAGACAGTCTTGAGTTTACTTTCTGGCATTTTTGCTTTCTAGATGTCTGACCTCAGAAAATCAAGCTTTCATGTCTGCAAAATGACAACAAATGCTGAGGATTGTAAGTTTGAAACCAGTTGGGTCAACTTAGAAATTTAGGAAGAAACTGTTTAAAAAAGCAAAAGTAAGAGGGCCTGGTGAATGTAGCTCACACTAAAGGCCCTAGGTTCAACCCTGAAAAAATAATTGGTAATATTTGCAAAAAACTTAAAATAGAACTGGCATAAAAATATCTGCTCATTAGTCAACTTCTAAATATTCTTATATTCCAGGTGCTAGGCTAAAAAGAATAAATGAAAAAGGTGACAAACTAAGATGAAGAAAAGGAGAGAAAAAAATAATAAAGAGGAAAGGGAGAGAAAAGGGAGGAAAAGAAAGGAGAGATAGATATAAGGAAAGAAAAAGAGAAACAGAAAACAAGGAAGGAATTGGAGAAAAGGATTTAACTTGCTGTCATAAAAATATATATACATATATAAAATATTTTATATATTTATTGAGTTACATTTAAATTGTATAGATTACCAATTTAAATATAAATAAATTTAGATTTCATATCACATGGACAGTCAGAAGTATAGATGGCTATCACATATCTATTATTTAAAGTCGCATTGAAACAAACTTTTTACCAGTAAAAGTAAGGGGCAAGTCATTGTATGACAATAATCAGCGCTTTCTAAACTATTGTACAACTATGCAGTGAATACAAGACTTTCTGAATTCCTACAGAATAGGTAGATTCAAGGTTTGGAAAAAAGTTATCTGAATTCCTACAGAAGAAGTAGATTCAAGGTGTGGAAAAAAGTTATGCAGAATATTTACTACTCACCTTTCTCCTGAGAATTTGATACCTATATGTATTGTAGTTCTGGTGGGTAACTTCTGGACATGCCTTTCTACCCCAGATTCTTTCCTTCATTGCTGGCCACACATTTATATTAAAGAAAAATTTATTTTAAATTTTGACTTAATATAATGCTAAGATTTTATTTTTGTACACAGGATGTATTTATCTGCACACTGGGACCTGAACATTAAGTTTGTGTGACTATTCTAGAATTTCTTAGTTCATCTCTTCCTCATTGGATCCCATTGGAATGTCATGCACTAAATGGAAGAAACAAACCAGTCTGTGGTGTCTCAGTTTATTTTTCAGGGCCTTTGCA